TGACGTTCCAATTTGAACGCATCGAATCAACTGGTTTTAACTTCTCTCATGAACACTTTAACTGTGAAAAAACAAAATGAATCCTCAAGACGAAGAAATGCAAGAAAACAGTTACTGGCCTTCTGCTGTGATAGTTAACCTCTCCTCGTTTCATCCCGTTTCTGCACAACAGTGTGAATGGCTGTGTTCTCAATTACGGCAACGAATACTCAGGAGCTTTTCTCAACAGTTTCACCACGTTCGAACTCTTGAAGGTTTTGGGGCTCCCTGCTATTTGACGCTCTCACAAAAGTACCTCATCGTCTCCCATTCCATGTATACTCTCAAATTCTTTGACCGAGACTCAAAAGAATATTTGGGAGAGGTGGAAATGTTACGAGAGATGCCATACAAATTATTAATTCAGTCTTATGCTCTTGAACCAGAAGACGGCAATGAATGCTTAATCATTTCGAGTGAGGAGAGTCGTGCAGTCTATAAAATGGAGCTGTTTCAAGTGGTGAAAAGATTATGCAAAAAAGAACCGCATGTATCTCAGCAAGAAGCCTCTGATCAATGTCCTGTGGTTGCAGTACCGCATCTATGGATGAGTGGAAGTGGAGATCCAGAAGGATATGGTTCAGACGATCATTTGTTCACTTTTCCACAAGCATGTGACTTGTTACCTTCTCAATATCTAAACATGCCACACTCAGACAAATTTCAGAATTCAATGAAAGGTCATTCCTATATTGTGGTATGTGATGGAGATAATCAGCGAATCAAAATTCTGCATCCCTCTACAGGGCAAGTTGTAAGCATGATTAGAGATGACGAGGCACCACTAAGTACATGGTGTCAAGAATGTGCTGTGACCATAGATGGACGAGTGGCAGTGGCGGACCAAGGCAAAATCACCTTATGGAAATGGAATGAAAATTCTTTGAGATGGATCCGAAACCAAACGATCACCATCTCGAGTGATCAGGTTGACGCATTTACCGTGGACAAATTGGGTGATTGTTTTTATTGCTGCCTGCATGGACTGCCACAGATAGAAGACCTTGGATTCAATTATTATTGCATTGAATTATATTCTACAAATTCTGGCCAGTTTCTTAAAAGGTTTGGAAAAAACTCAAGAAGTGAAATGCCTAAGGTAGATGAACTTAACATGCCAAAATGCTTATTGGTCGATTCGAGGAGAGGAGAATTGTTGCTAGTGGATTTTCACAATTATAGAATTTTAGTCTATCAATAAACATGTATTTTTAGGTACAATAGAGTTGATTCCAAAATTGTTTTGTGATTGGGATAGTTGTCTATTATTTCACTCGGGTTGGCAAGAAGGGTTCGAAACTGCGAGGATCCTCTTGGAGGTCGAGTTTGTGTTGGATTCACTTTCAAACCATATTGTTTGACCTTGAACAGCTTCCATTCTCGTGATGAATACAACAAACACAACTTGGATCTTGCAGTTTACTATGCAGAAACACTTTACAAAATCATTTGTATTTGGTGGAACTATTTGTTTTTTGCAGACTTTACAAAGTCGTAGAATAAATAGGCCACATCTGAAATAATTTCAGACCAGCTTGTCATAGTTCTATTTCTACTTTCATTCTTTGTTTTGTGCTGTTTTTGAATACCAGAGGATCTTTTTGCATCTCTCGCCGGTGTAACTTTTGGTGAAGAAAATAAACGAGAAAGTATCGAGTGTTCACGATTTTCTGGTTCTGTGTTTCCATTTTCAGAGTCATCAGTAGCATCGATGGATCTTCTTTGGTTCTCACTGTTCCTTAGTTCAATACCCATCTGCACCTCTTTATTAAGGGCTGTTTCGCAATGTTTCTTAATATCACTCAATGAGATACGATCAGCTCGTTTCAATAACATTCTTCGAACTACTTCTCTCATTGAAGAAGAACACTTGTGACAACGTTGAAGCATCTCCAAAGGATTACCTTCTGGTTTACACTTTTTTGCAAGCAACAACACCATAGTTACACCCAAGGCATAAATATCAGACTCTTTAGCGACTCCATGAGCACGAGTTTCATCATCAATGAATCCACTTGTACCATTTTCAGCAAATCTTGTTCTCTCTCCCATGGTCTCTTCAGAACGGGTTAAACCAAAATCTGCCAGTACATAACGAAAACAATCTCCTTTTTTCGCGTATAAAATGTTGGTGGGTTTCACATCTCTATATTTCAATTAAAAATATACAGTTGCAACAAATACAACAATAACTTACCTATGGATGAAAGAAGATTCATGTAAATACAACAACGCCTGTGACATTTGATACAAGACTCTCCAGCACTCATATTCATTTAGTACCAACGAACCAATGCTGCCTTGCATAAGATCAGACATGATGTAAAGACGACCATCCACCAATTCCCAGTATTGTATCTTCAAAAGATGAGGGTGATCAAACGTACATGCCTCTCTTTCTATTATTTGATCACGATTATGGCTAGAAATTTCGCAAATTACTTTGACCGCAATACCTTTTTGTTGGATTCCGTAAACAGTTCCAAAGCCACCTTTTCCAAGATTTTTAACCTCATCGTGATTCACATTAAATTTCTCGGCTATCCAATTCACCTCAGGTGGGCCAAATTGTAGTAAAGCCATCGTTGATTCTTCTTTTCTTTGGATTCTAATTCATACATCCATTCATCCATTTCAGATGTATTGTTTTCTCCGACTTCAAACAATTGACATTGCTCAGTTAAGTAAGAGAAGGCAGAATCTTGAGAATGTGTGAGCGTTGATTCAGAAGCGTTCACGACTCCACGACTCTTTGAAACATGTCTTGAATAATAATTCTCAACGAACAAGTCTTGGTATTGAACAAATCTCATTTGATACTTTTCATTACAATGTTTTTCAATTTGGTGTGATATGATGATTGGAATATTCAACGTGTTGGCTACTTGCATCATACTTTCTAAATTCGACTGAATACTTCCAACGACTTGAAATGATTTGAACTCACGGGTTCCTAAATTTCCACAAATACATTCTTGACATGTAACTGCCATTCTGAAACTCAATGGTGTCAATAATTGAGAATTCAAACCGAGTGGACGAGAGTTTGAATGAGTAGACACCCATTTTTGAGTCTTGATTTGTAAAAGCTTTGATCGAAGAGAATCACAAAACGTAAGCGCCTTTTCTTGATGTTTCTTCAGTTCGTTGGCTGCATTAAAGAAAATAAATTGGGAATCAGAATCGAATGCTCCCATTTGAGCACTCATTGAGCGTGTTTGTTGATTAATGGCTTCAAACACATCGCTCAACAAGCTCACTATTTCAGTTCCGCTCATGCCTGACCACCATTCATTCAATCCATCTAAATGAAGCATGACAGCACTCACCATTCTCTTTTCTGAGTAGAGAGAAAATCGATCAAGGTGAGTTTTTTGTGAGGATAGTCTTTTGGATGAGTGAGCCATTGAGGATGAGCTTTTTCTGGATAATTCTTGACTTTCAGCATTAGTGTTTGGTGCAACTTCCCCATTCCCATCATCGCTCTCCAATTGCGCAAGTAAATGAGAAGGAATGAAGGCTCTGTAAAGTTTGATTCTCTTGACCATTTCGGTAAAATGTAATTGCAGTTGAGTTACTTCTGTCAATCGACTCTTTTTCAAATTCAAATGATCCAATTGCATATTTGACACCAGTTCAAAAGATTGAATCAGTTGATGGAATGGATTTACAATTCTAAGAGAGAACACAACTGCGGTGACAGTACTCACCAATCCAATGATACATGCACTCACCACTGCAGCAATGATGGCTAACACCATGTTACTAATGTAATTCCATTGAGGAACGCTCAACACGAACATCCAATCAATTCCGTTTTCATTGCACAATCGATGAACGAGAATGAATTGATCGGTAAGAGTGATTACATGACGATTGTTGCACTGTATATTTCTCAAATTGTTGTTGAACTCGGAATAGACCTGTAGACCAACTCGTTTGATGGCTTCGTTCATGTCTCCAATCATTTTTCTGGCGCTTCCTGAAACTGATTTTTCATTTTGTTGATCGCCTATGTGGAATCACAGTGCAAAGAATGAATTTCCAAAAAACCCAACATACAACACTTACTTGCAATGATATAATTTGTTTCAACCTCAATGATGAAAGTATGTGACCCTGCTATACTTTTAGTCATTTCTACCAAGAACAGTGATAAGAACTTGGTGCTCATGCTGTATCCTATGGCGTGGCTCACTCTCTGACCGTTACCTAAAGGTGCGCTCAGTTCAAAGCTTGACATTAAGGTAAGAAACGTGACGTCTGGGTGAGTGGGATCCGTGAATGAGGGAGCAAAAAGAGTTTTTCCAGGATTGTTATTTGCAGTTTCGCTTGGTGCTTGGTTTGTAAATGCAGAACGCACCAAGTCAGGAGTGGAGTTTCGATTGCAGTAATCATTGTTATAAAAATCTCTGCAAATATAAAAACTCTGATTCTTGCCATAGGTTAGATTTAGAAGCACAAAATTGTTGCCCAATTGAGTCATTCCAAGAGTATTGCCATGATATTCTCCCAAAAAGAGAGCAAAGGTAAGCATGGATTCATACTTCATCAAAGACTTGTAAGCCTTATAAATATGATTTACAAGCGTGTCATCCATTGTTTTGTAGTCATTAAGGAGCTGTCCTTTGAACATTGACATGAAGAAGGCCACTCGCTTCAATGTTTCATCAGTGTAGGTAACCATTCTGGAAAAATCTTTATCACGAATCGAATGGCTCATTTCTGAAACGGTCGTGCTGAAGCAACTAACCCAAATAGCTGACAAAATCAATACACTCATGACAATGAGACCAACGATCAAGGTGATGAGAATATACTTGATGGAGAAACAGCACAAAAATTTTGAGCTCTCTGAATGATGAACACTTTCTGAGTTGTCTCCACTAATGGAAGATGAAATGTCTTGTGATACAATGGTATTCAAAGGATTGATTTTTACAGTCATCTCTTTTGTTTTTTTCTTTTGGGCTTTATGAGTGTATTTCTGACCCCATCAAGAACTACAATGTCTTTATCAAAGATTCTTAAGACTTAATCAGATATTCTGATTACGGCCAAATCAAACTTTGGCCGGCAGAGATAAAACCGGTAACGTGAGAGATTATAGGTTGTGGCACCGAGAGAATCTCGAGGCAATTCGGGCGACAGTTTCAGACCACTTTCAGAATTGTATTTCTTGAGCGATTTTCCTTGTTCTAAAAGGATTCGTTTCGGGCTGTTAAACGTTAAAATGTGGACTACAGTGAAGTCAAATGAATGGTTAATCAACAGCCGTCAGTCCTTTCTCTTCCAATCTATAACACACGATATCAGAAACAATTTCATCTGTTCTAAATAGATAACACAAGTATAAAAATTTGTTTAAGGAGAGAATGAAACACTGTGATGGCTTGAAGGAAATTGTAGAATTCCTTCACGAAGAATGGGCAGGTGACACTGACCTCAATTTTGTTCATTGTTATTAAGAAATATCAAGGAACCCCTTGGATAAGGAGATCAGAAGTGAGTGTGTTGAAACCACCAATATACAATGAAATCTTCAGTAAAAACGTTGATTCATTCGTTACAAGTAATTTCAAAAACTCTATGGCCAAAAATTGAAACGAGCACTATAAATCAGATGTCATGAGATCGTTGGCCTCTCTCAACTCTTTTTTGCACAAAGTAATCATGTGTTTGGTGGGAATATCATTGGTGTGTCTTTGTGCGTATTCTTCAAATCCCATTAATGCTTGCTCAAAATTTGTTGCGAAAAATGCTCTACAAGCCACATTATAGTCTTTCCATTCTTCATTCTTTTGCTTGTTTGCAAGTTCGTACAACCATTCATCATCAGAGACTGTCAATGGGGCACCAATCTCATAAATGTTACTTGATTTGTTGGTATTACCTTCATCCATGAAATTAATAAATCCAATAAATCTTGTGTGATAGAGTGATTGAGCAATTTTGGACATGGTTTCGTCGCATACAATCCTGAGATGCATTTGAGAGGCAAAATTTGTCAAGTTTGAAAGATTCTCATAAATAGATCCTAAAATCTTGAAAGATCTCACGTCTGTTGTGCCTACATTACCACAAAGACAATATTGAACATGAGTGGCAAACCTAAACTCAATATGATTGGCTGCCAATGTTGCAAATTGAGACTTGTCACTCTGCTTCCATTTTGCATTTTGCAACTCTCTTAATTTGTCACTCAAATCCATGCAGGTTTTGATTGCTTTCTCTTCATGTCGTAATTGGTCTCTAGAGGCATTAAACACAATTGTAACACTATCATTTTCAACATGTTCCATTAAACTACTTGTTGATCGAGTTGAAAATTGTATCTTTTCAAATATATCCTTGAGAATTTCAATAATTTCATTTGGAGCTGCATGGTCCAAAATCCATTCCAAGCCTTGAAATTTAACTTGAATCATGGAAATTTTCTTTCTTTCAAGGTAAAGTGAGAATTTTGATGCTAAATCCATCTTGTTACTGTTGTAACGTCTACTTGATTGAAGGGTACTATTGCTAGCCGAAGTGTGGGAGGGAGCTTTTGATTTCACATCTTCCTCTTTTGGAATGTCTTCCTCTTCTTCTAATTGCATGTAATCATCATCACCTCCATTCTGAGCCTCAATTTGAAGCAAGACGTGAGCAGGAATGAAACTCTTGTACATTTCTTGTAGACGTTGAAGTTCAACAATTTTATGCCATAGAGATGCAATGGAACGAGAGAAAATCATTGCAATGATGATTGAGACTGATGTTACAAAAACTGCACTCACGATATATGCAACCATAACCCCAACTGCTCGATCAAAAAGCTTTGATGCATAACTTAATGATAAGTCACTAATGTAAATCTCAACAAGTCTCATGTCATTAATGTGTTGAGTTATGTTTGTATGCCAATCCAGTCCAGAATAAAATGTGAGATTGCTATAGTTTGAAACAATGTAAGCCTCTATTTTTACGACATTTTGACGGGTCTTGGTGTTTAGAACAGTGTTGTTGAAAACATCCCAAATTGAGAAAACGTCTTTCAACTGCAGATAGTGTTGCAGAAGTGATGCTTTTGCTTGAGCTTGAACAAAGAGAAGGAAATTATCAAATGACATCGAGTGAGAGGCTAAGGCTGCATTTCCAATTGCTCGTCGTTGTCCTGTCCAATATTCCAAGTAATCAATGTTGTAACGAAACAATTACGCATGATAGGTGTCATTCAGAAAGTCAGTCACAATATCTTTAACATCACTTACCAGTATATTCTTTCATCGCTGTCAATGCGTTGTAAGCTGATTGAATAGTCATAAATGTTGACTCTGAGCTCAAGCTAGAAACAAGCATGACTGTGTCAATCATTTTGACATTCCAATTCGAGAAGAAATTAAGGGCTTCAATCGTTTGAGCGAACTGTAACTTCAACACTCGATCTCTCAAAGTAGGAAATGTGTTAATGAATACATCTACCAAGTCAAAGCTCTTCAGTACTTGTCCAAATAAGGGAGATGACGTCTTGAGCTCATCAATCAGTTTGTAACGTTGTGTCATGAAAGCATTCAGTGCCTTATCTGTTTCATTTCGTCTGTCCATAAGTAGGTTGTAGTGATCGGTTCCATTCGATCCCAAATACAACGCAGAAGCACCTCTCTCAAGCTGACTACAATGTACCAAGTTGGATAACAATGTAGTCATGGTGGAAATTTTAGTAATGACCACGGATGATTGCAACTCTGTCACCGAGTTATACACCAAAATACATGCAAATGCAATGAGAGAGAGAAAAGCAAAGATGACAATTAAAAACAATTTCAGAGAGAGTGGAAGCTTTTCAAGTCTTTCAAAAATAGGATTCGTTTTGTTCTTTGCTTTTCGTTTCGGTTGCCCTTTGAGAGGTGCTCTCGTTGCTGAGGTAGTATCTGGATGAATTTTGATAGTCTTTGCCATGAGTTTTTTTGTTTGAATTGGAGATTCAGAGATGAAGACACAACCACACTGTCATATTACTAGACAACTACTTGTGAGAGTTCATCACACCAACAAGCTCTCTGTCAATTTCACCTCAGATATCTCCTCGATCAATTTGGAGAAATGTATTAACTTTGGCAGTAGAGATGATTCAAAGGTGAACTGAAAGCTACACTCGTTGAAATACAATGTATCTCCTGATGCAGGAAAGTGAGTCTCTCTCAATGTCGAGAGAGACTATCACTGCAAATCAAGAAGTGAATCCCATCGTAAATGGATACGGTTGTTTTCCATGATACATCCATCACAATCTGATACGCATCACAAGTTGTTCCGATGGCTCATGAATTCTCTAAATAATTATTGAATCAATCTTACTCTACTTTACAGTATCCATTGTTTGGGTGGAATATTATCGAAAATTTGGCTTTGAATTTAAACAAAACTTGAGGCGCAATTGATTGTACTAGCGTTCGTGCCCAAAATACCGAAAAGTTGATAGAGCGCACGTGATTATGACGCTTGATTTTTATTGAATTTTCATTTTAAAAAAAAAATTTTAATAAAAAAAATTAACGGATTCTCTTCATTTTCAACATCCTATGGATCCAGCAATCATCATGACAAACACACCCGAGGAAGCACTAACAAGCAACGGTCGTACAGCAACGGTCGAGACACAACGACCACAATTCACACAAGCAAGTGAAGAAAAAGCATTCAATGAAATTTTGGAGCTCGTTGAGAAGGACCGACCAAAACTGACTCGCTATCAAGAGTATTATGTTTTTGGAGCAGAACCAAATTATCATTGTTTAATACGATATCTTAGGGCTCGTGATTTTGATGTGAAAAAATCATATGACCTTTTGAAGAGTACTCTCGAATGGCTTGAAGACTTTAAGCCATATTTGATAACAGCTTCCAAGATGACAAAGGAAGCAGCTACTGGAAAAATATTTTGTCGTGGATTTGATAAATTTAATCGACCAGTGGTTTACATGAGTCCTGGAAAAGAGAATACCTATGATGGAGAGGGTAATATTCAACTCTTGGTGTACTCGTTGTTTACCGCTGTAGCAAGAATGCCTCCTGGTGTGTCACAAATGACTTGGATATGCAATTTTGAAGGATATACAATGAAGGTAGGTTGTTGTGCATTGATTTTGTTTGATTATTATAACCGCCGTGATTGTGTTTTTATAATTACCTAATATCGCTCTTCCATATTTCATTCTACTGACCTTTTCCATTTAAATGCATTAATACAATTATTTGACACCATTGGTTACAATTTCACAACTACAAATTATACTTTTTTGAAATTGAAAGAATGCACCATCTCTCAGCGTCTGTAAACAAACAGTTTCAATTCTAAGTAGTCATTTCCCAGAACGATTAGGTGTTGCTCTAATTGTAAATCCTCCCAAGGTGTTTTCATGGTTTTGGAAATTAATTAGTCCATTCATTCCACCCGTGACAAAAGAAAAAATCAAATTTTGCAACTCCTCCAAGAAGGAAGACATGATTGAATTCTTTTCCCCATATTTCACACTAGACATGCTTCCAAAGGATTTTAACGGAAATCTTGATAATACTTTCACTGAGGCAGTGTGGGAAGAGGAAAAGAAAATTGATGATACCAGACTTGACCGAATTGCTCACATTGTCGACGTTTCTGAACTTTACAATAATCCAAAGAAATAATACATCTCCATAATTATTCAGAAATCTTTTGATCTTGCTCATGATATTAATTTATTGACCATTCATTGGTTGCATGCTCTAAATTCAGATTAAAAAAATGTCTTCACACACCACCGTTGATTTATTCTCAGTTCCTCGAGTGGGAGTTTCCACGTTCATCATTAGAAAAGTCAACGGAGTGGATTGTGTCTTGGTTGGAAAAAGAAAAGGATCCCATGGTGCAGGATGTTACCAGCTCCCAGGTGGACACTTGGACTATGGAGAATCATGGGAAGAGTGTTGTGCCCGAGAGGTCAAAGAAGGTTGGTCATTGATGTCCATAATTTTTGATCAATATAATCATGTGCATTTCAAATTATGACGACAATATTAATTTATTTCAATTATTAATGAATGATTGAATTCTTTCAAATTTTATTATTCGGATTGACAAAATTATTGAAAATTAATGATCCTTTCATGAACACAATCCCTCATAGAAACCAATCTCGATATTTCCGATATTTCCTTCATCACTTGTACCAATGATTTATTCGTGAAAGAACAACGTCATTATGTTACCATCTTTTTACGCTCCTTCACATCCAGCATTGAACAACAAGCAGAATTATTAGAACCACACAAATGTGAAGGATGGCAATGGATTCCAATTGAACAATTGAAACATCTCGATAATTTATTCCTTCCACTTGAGAACTTTCTCAAAACAAACTCTCCATCGAAAATTCTTCCTTGAAACACACCAACATTGAAGATTAAAATCAACAATTTTATTGCAAAGAAGAAACAAACTTGAGTACTCTTACAATCTCTTCATTCCATTCATGAACGTTGCATTTTCAAAATAGCAACCTCTGCATTTTGTAACTTGAAGTCAACTCAATTTCAAAGGCCTTAACTGTGCGAGGTCAGTACCGACCAATCTTTAAATTCATTGCAAGCGTGCAACATTCTTTTGAAATTCGAAACAAAAAAAATACACAACACTCCTCTTACATTTTTTGTGTAAATATTTACATCATCATCATCAACAAAATTTTTCATCATCAACAACAACAAGATGGGTAAAGAGAAGGAACATATTAACGTTGTCGTCATTGGTCACGTCGACTCTGGTAAATCCACCACCACTGGACACTTGATCTACAAGTGCGGTGGTATCGATAAGAGAACCATTGAAAAGTTCGAAAAGGAAGCTCAAGAAATGGGTAAGGGTTCCTTCAAGTACGCTTGGGTTTTGGATAAGTTGAAGGCCGAAAGAGAAAGAGGTATTACCATTGATATTGCCTTGTGGAAATTCGAATCCAAGAACTTTGTCTTTACCATTATTGATGCTCCAGGACACAGAGATTTCATCAAGAACATGATTACTGGTACTTCTCAAGCTGACGTTGCCATCTTGGTCATTGACTCTACTACTGGTGGTTTCGAAGCTGGTATCTCCAAGGATGGTCAAACCAGAGAACATGCCTTGTTGGCCAAGACTTTGGGTATCCAACAATTGATTGTCTGTATGAACAAGTTCGATGATAAGACTGTCAATTACAATCAAGCCAGATACGACGAAATCAAGAAGGAAGTTGCTGACTACTTGAAGAAGTTGGGTTACAAGGTTGATGACATTCCATTCGTCCCAATCTCTGGTTGGACTGGTGATAACATGATTGAAAAGTCTGACAAGATGCCATGGTACAAGGGAAAGTGTTTGTTGGACACTTTGGATGACTTGAAGCCACCAGTCAGACCAGTTGATAAGCCACTCAGATTGCCACTCCAAGACGTTTACAAGATTGGTGGTATTGGTACTGTCCCAGTCGGTAGAGTTGAAACTGGTGTCTTGAGACCAGGTATGGTTGTTCACTTTGCTCCAGGTCAAGCTCCAGATTCTGAAGTCAAGTCTGTTGAAATGCACCACCAATCTGTCCCAGAAGCTAAGCCAGGTGACAATGTTGGTTTCAACGTTAAGGGTTTGTCCACTACTGATATCAAGAGAGGTTATGTTGCTTCTGATACCAAGAACGATCCTGCAAAGGAAACTGCCTCATTCGAAGCTCAAGTTATCATCATGAACCACCCTGGTGAAATCAGAAACGGATATACTCCAGTTTTGGATTGTCACACTTCTCACATTGCTTGTAAATTCGAAAAGTTGTTGGCTTTGATCGACAAGAGAACCAACGCAACTGTTGAAGAGAACCCAGAAAAGATCAAGAGAGGTGAATCTGCTATGGTCAAGTGTGTCCCAACCAAGCCAATGTGTGTTGAAGCTTACACTGATTATCCACCTTTGGGAAGATTCGCTGTCAGAGACATGAGACAAACTGTTGCTGTCGGTATCATCAAGAAGGTTGAGAAGAAGGAAATTGCTACTAAGAAGTAATTTTTATTTTCAATTTTTATGAATGCTCAGATCGGACAGCACAATGCTGAGCCTTAATTGCTTGTGGTTGCTTTTTATGAGTGTGGAAGGATATTTGTGGGGACGAAGGATGTGTGTGTTGCTGGATGCATTATTTGACTTATTTCTATTACGAGGAAGTGAATTGATGCGATGAAAATTTATTTTGAATCTATTTGTGACACACATAAGAATTTGACTCACAATTTCCACATTTTTGAAGCTACAACAGGTGATTAATTTTACATGAAGGATTATTCTTGTTTTGTGTATGTTTTGCAATAAACATCGAAAGGAGATCTTGTAGTGTAATGGTTTTTCTAATTCATTCATTCGACAGGTTGGCAACAATCCTCTTGATAAGTTGTTGCAGAAGTGGAACTATGTTACACTGTAAAGATTGCAAAACCAATGGAACAGAGGGACAAGGTTTACCTAATTCTGGATGGTCTTATAAGGAATTCATGATACTATTTTATTGTGTGGATATGAATGGACGAGAGAAGAATTGATGAGGAATTAGTTCAAGTGGTTTGAGAAGAAAATGTGAGTGATGGCAATCGTATGGAGAGGAGAATCTAATATTCTCTTCACAAAATTCAAAAAATTTACAAAATCATGCATTTACCATCCTTCTTCTTAGTATTCTTATTATCATTCTTGAATCTCTCAGGATGCAACACTGCAGTAATAGCCAAATTGAAACATTCCTTCAAACCAACTTGTGTCTTGGCAGAACATTCACAGTAAGCAATACAATTCACTTCTTTTGCCAATTGCTCTCCCATTTCTTTTGTTATTGGATGAAGTCCTTGTTCTTTCAATTTCTTCAGTGTGGCATCATGTTCTCTCATGTCAACTTTCAAACCACACAAAATTACTGGAACAGATGGACAATGTTTACGTAATTCTGGCATCCAACGATCCTTAATATTGGTGAAGGAAGAAGGTTGAACCACTGAGAAGCAAGCAATGAAAATTTCAGTACTGTTTCGTCCAATAATGATGTTTGGTAAAAATTCAAAAGTTTCATAAAATTGTACAAGGTGGCACAATAATGTGATGACTTTAGACATAATGATTGAGAAATAAAAATACATACTCTGGATAGGAGAGAGGTCGCAAACGACTGCGAGGCGAGGTGAAGTGAATATCAGTGACGACCAAGATTGTTATAATTCAATAGGATCATTTTTCATATCAAAATTTTCATGATACAAGTGGTTGGATTAAGTTCATCATCATCATCTCAATATATATAACAATAATATTCATCAAATTGAATGATACATACTCGTAACTGAATGGTGAGAAGTCAATATATAATGGAACGCGTGATAGTCAATATACTTACTCTTCTTGTCCAGCTGTATCCCACAAACCTAATGAGACTGTATGATTTTCGTACATGACATTGGCACAATAGTTATCAAAGACAGTTGGCACATATTCTATATATGGAAAGTTGAAGTATTGTTGTTAGTGGTCGTGATGATTAGGAGTGATTTCAAGTATGGTATTATTGATGCAAGTATCATCAATGGCAAGGTCCATACATCATCAAAAAACATCAAATGTCAACATTGAATTTACGTCCATCATCATGGTCATCATTGAATCCCATCGATATATTGAAAGATAGAGACGAGCGACCGACCATCATCAGAAAGCACGATTCGTTCCAGTTCATCGTAACACCAACAACAAATATATTTAAAAATTTAAACTCACACCAAATAATATATTACACATACCTGTTGGGAAAGAATCTGTACTATAACTAATCAACATGGAGGTCTTACCAACGGCTCCATCTCCCACGACGACACATTTAATATTAGTATCCATAGTATTTGATTGTTTTTTTAATAAAAATTCCTAAAAATTGTTGTTGTTGTTGTTGACAAAAATTTTGTGTGTTAACCGAAGGTTGAGCTTGTGGTTGTCGAAGAGACTCTTTGAAGAGAGAGATGAAAGGTTCGAAGTAGAAGAAGTAGAAGGGAAACAACAATCGCGTGGCTGTTGGTTGGATTAAAATTTTTTTGCGTTGATGATTTTGGATAAAACGTAACTGAGAACTCTCTGATTGACATCTGAAGGGTGAACAGCGAACATTGGATTCTGTTTGGTTTTGAGCACTTTGAGGGAAAGTCAATAGAAATGCAAATGAGCAATTTAAGGTAAATCAAGTGAAGCTCTTTTAATCGATTTTGAGAGGAGGAGCTAAAAAGTTGTCTTGGTTCAAAATGTAACATGTTTAATTTCAATGAAAAGCTGTGGTTAAGAGCTCTTTAATAATAATTTAAACTCCGAATCCATGTGTTGATTATTGTAATCTCTCACAGCAACCAATTGTTAAAAAATTTGTACTTCACATCTCACTTGTATTGACCTTATCTCACCATAATTATCTCATCATCAAATGGTTCTCCATCATCGAAGAGTTTTTATATGTACCATAGCTACACTCCTATTGCTACTGAGCGTGAGCATAATTGCTAGTGCATCATCATCAAGGTTGAACTCGGATCCTATATTGAAAGTTTGTAAATCTGAAATTCCCAATCAAATTACGAGTATGATTGAAAACTTTCCGGCTACTTTTGCAATTCGGGTGGTAATGAATCAAAGCATGGAATTATTTAGCTACAATTCTGATCCGTTTTTTCAGCCTGCTTCCAATAACAAATTATTGACCACTATTGCAGCTCTGAATCAATTAGGAAGCAAATTTAGATTTCAGACCAACTTTTATTATGACTACAAACAAAAGAGTGTGGTGGTACGGCCAATGGGAGACCCCACTCTCACCTTTGAAAAATTACAGTTTGGCTTGAAGAACGTATTTCTGCAATTGAATTCGGAAAGTGTAGAGCAAGTCATTGTGGATAATAGCTTTTTTAATCCAATTCCATTTACCAATGAGGGAGACGATAATTTTCCTTCAAGTTGGGAATGGGGAAATATGCAATACACATTTAGTGCTCTACCAAGCTCGTGCTCTTTGGAACATAATATTATTAATTTTAATGTGAAAGCTGGTACAAAGGTCGGAAATTATTTGATTGCCACTATTGACGATAAGACTTTTGAATTTGCAAGTCCAATGATTCAATTTGATACTACGTACACGAGAACCATGAACTGTAGCGGTGGAAATAGTAATAATAAGCAACAAGAGACTGTGAATGCATTTTACAGGCCTTTGGATAGAAAAGTGATTGTGCGAGGCCAACTTTGTACGTCGAGCATTTCACCACAAAGTTTGACCATCTTGGACCCTGTCGAATTTTTCATGCAAGCTGTGCAATTTATAACGAACAAACCTGTGACTCTGATGTATCTCAGTGATGAACAGCGTTCCAACATGTTTGCATTCACCAAAGACACCATCTATTCCGATAATATTTTACACATCATGAACACAACGCTTCAAGAGAGTGACAATACGTATGCTGAACTCTTTTTGAGACAAATTGGAGCACTCATTAAGCCCAGTGACAACACCTTGATTCCATTTCCATCCATCACACAACGAGGCATTCAAATGGTTAAGAATATTCTTACCAACACACCATACAATCTCTCACCCAATACATTTTTCCAAGACGATGGAAGTGGTCTCTCTCGTCATAATCTCGTTTCTGCGAGAAGTTTAGTGGATGCACTTATTGGTGTCTATTATAAGGGTGCTGGTGGTGTAGGTGGAGAGGTTTACAAGTCGTTACTTCCGCTAGGTGGTGTTTCTGGGACATTGAAAAATCGTTTCAAAAACTTTCCAGGACTTGTTTCTGCAAAAACTGGATCATTGGACGGTGTGAGCTCATTGAGTGGCTACATTCGAAATGAGAGATTTAGAGATCCCATTATTTTCTCAATTATTGTGAATCAATGTCCATTGAGTGCCTCACAAATGCATCAAGTGATTGACTCGATTGTGATACTGTATGCATTTATGAATCCAGATTGTTAGAAATAATGTACATGTTATACATGGTTTTCTATTGAGAATTTTTATGATCGCAAATCACGTAGCATCCATGGAACCATTGGTTTTCATCCATTGAAGCCGACCACTTTGAATTTTCTCACATTCACACTATAGTTTACCACTTTCTCAGATTCACACTCACTTCAGATGTGAATTGAGTTGGCGTATACAAGTTTAGCTTAGGCAAGAAACTAAAGATTTTGATTGCGTTTGAAGAATGGTTTGCATGACTTTTGGAGAAGAAACGTGTGATTGCTGGCGCGAGGAAGATTTGAGCGAAGCTGCCAACCTTTCCTTTAACACTTTGTCTTCGAGACATAAGCAAAATATTGGAAGAACAATTTGTCTTGTCTGACCTATGGACACGGCATGGTCATTGTATTCTTCATTACGTTCATCACCAACTAATAACATGCAGTGACTTTCATGCACAAATCCTTCACAAGTTGTAAAAACGTTAGAGTCATGATCATCCTCAAACATGACACTCTTCTCTGCAATCTCCACGACACATTCATCATCATTAATTTCACACACAACACCAGTTTGTCCATGCCAAGTTGCATCGACCATATTCAATATAGACAAGTCTTCATCGACATTGACCAATACCACGTCCTCTTTCTTCAACAGAGAATGTGTGGCAGAGTGTGAAATGAATCTCTTTACCGACATGTCTTGTCTTGGATGAGCATGTCGACGAGGAAGGGATTTGCATTCAGAACGTGCTGACATGAATGGATTTACAACACCACTGGTGTTGTGTTCTTTTAAATTTATGGCAACGTCTTTGTCTCGTCTTGATGGATTCATGATGGACGACTCGTAGTTATGTTGTTTGTTGTTACGTCGTTCGAGTGCCATCTGTGGAGGATGATTCTTTTCCATCATGTAAGGCAATGGAATTTGACATTCCATAATATTAGTATTTCGATAAGCTTGTTCTGTGTGTAAGGATCTATAATTGTTGAAATTTGTGCATGAAGTTGGCTTCTTCAATGGCATCTTGTCAGTTGTATTCGTTGTTCCTTGTTGTTTCAAGAATGAAGATTTGGACGATGTCATGGGATTGTATGTTCTCGTTGTATTTGTCGTAGTAGTGGTGGATCGAGAAGAACCTTGACCAGTAGTGGTTGTAGTAGCAGCGTTCGAGGTTGTAACAGGAGACATTCTTGACACTCGTTTAATGAACATTTTTGTTGTTCGTGTTGATGGATTGATGCTTTAAGATTTTACACCGTCAAACTCTCACTTGAATGGTACTCTCTTGTTTTTTTTCAATGATTCATTGATGGATCATTCAGTGAATATTCAAACATTCATGTAAAGGACATTTTTATGCATCCCTCGAAACGAATTTGCAATGTATGGGCTTTAGTTTTATCCAAATCAAAAGCATGGATGAAATAGTGTCCCAACTTTGGAGTCCTTTCGAGGAGAATGAGCATTTGCGATGCCATTTTCAAAAATGGTAATATTTGAAGTGAAGTCATTTATGGAATTTTGAATGACAAACTTCAACGAAAAATTAGGAAAAACGAAATGGTGGACAATGAGAAGTCATTAAGCACAATTGGAAAAAGAACTTTCATGAGATGTACTATTATCCTAAAAGTCGTAAAATCCAAAAAGTTCGTGTCGTTGTTGACAAGAAAATACTGGCATGGTTCAAAAACATACATTTTCGCATTCATAAACCTGTCAAGATTTATCTATTAAGCAAATCTCTCGACACCCCGAACAACCACTTTGTAAACTCCATTCCCGAGTCAACTCCGTTCCGACACAAAAAAAAATGAAACATCCTTCTTTACTACTCTGTCTTTCATTCATTTTCATTCTATGCACTTCACTCATTCAAGCTTCAATCTCGTCCCCTTCCGTAGTAACTGTCTACAGTCGGGAACATTTTGTTTTCGGAGTGGATGATTTACAGAGAGGAATTGCCGTTGCCAAACTCTCGGATCAAGTTCAAAGCAATGGTTGGACCCAACTCGATATTCGTACCAATTCTGCTCATTCCGATGAAATACAGACCTTTGCTGCTGGTATGGCAGAAGGCTTGATCTCTCATTATCAAACTTGGCAGTTGTACCAAAATCAAGTCTATGATTGGAATTTTACGGAACTGGCAACTCACTCTTCAAAACCAACTTGGTGTAGAAATGACAAATCATCATTGTTATGTAATTACGCATATCCAGAACGAATTATTGAGTTTTTGAAACGAAATTTGGAATGGATGAGAGAAAATGCTCGCCGAAAGAAATTTGAATTTAAATTTTGGTATCATGTGGATTTGTTATTGGCACAATTTGATGGCTTGGTTCATGGCTTTATGCGTATGCAAGAGTTGGATGGAAGAATTACTGAAAATAAGAGAATGGATTGGTTTGATTTGTACGTGTTGCAATCGGCTGGAGATATGTATACCTTGGTCGATGCATTTGGCAGCTCACAAGTTCATTCGAGAGCTCGAGCAGAAGCGTTTAATATGGGAATTCCTTTAGAAGTTTTTCAATCAAGTGCTTTCAATAGAAAATATAAGGAAGACGCTCCATTTACTGAGTGTAGTGCTCTCATTAAGGTCACTTCTACCTCTCCACAAAAGCAATGCGATGATTTATTTGTTGGACATACCACATGGAGAAGATTTAACATTATTAACAAATTTTTCAAGAGTGTCACCATGTCACTCAAGTTTGCAGCAGCAAAAACTGTGACCTTGAGCTCGAGTGCAAGTTTTTTCTCTAGCAAGGAAGACTATTATGCCATGGATTCGGGAATTGTTGCCTTGGAAACTTCTCTGAGTACTTACAATTCAACCTTATTCAAATTGATCAAACCAGAGTCATTG